TATAATATACCATAATACTATAAGTATGTTATACTATACTGAGAAAATAATAAAACTAATAAATAATAAAACTGAGAAAATGTACTATGAGTATACTAAGTATAGTATACTTATAATATAATATACCATAATACTATAAGTATGTTATACTATGCTGAGAAAATAATAAAACTTAGAAAATATACTATAAGTATACTAAGTATAGTATAACTGTAGTATAGTATACTAAGTATGGTATATTATACTTAGAGTATAATATACCATAATACTATAAGTATGTTATACTATACTGAGAAAATAATAAAACTAATAAATAATAAAACTGAGAAAATATACTATGAGTATATTAAGTATAGTATACTTATAGTATAGTATACTAAGTATAGTATACTATAATATAATATACCATAATACTATAAGTATGTTATACTATACTGAGAAAATAATAAAACTAATAAATAATAAAACTGAGAAAATGTACTATGAGTATACTAAGTATAGTATACTTATAGTATACTTATAGTATAGTATACTAAGTATAGTATACTTATAGTATACTTATAGTATAGTATACTAAGTATAGTATACTTATAGTATAGTATACTAAGTATAGTATACTTATAGTATAGTATACTAAGTATAGTATACTTATAGTATACTTATAGTATAGTATACTATAGTATAATATACCATAATACTATAAGTATGTTATACTATACTGAGAAAATATACTATAAGTATACTAAGTATAGTATACTTATAGTATAATATATTATAAGTATACTATAGACACTCGCGTTCGTATTCTATATCAGCTGGAAGCTCGTAATTCGCGTAAGAGTTACGCTCCAACGCGACTCAAATCCAACCGGCTCTCGGTTGGCTCTCAGATTCGTCAACGATCCTATTGAAACGAACACGATGAAGATCACTCGGGATAAAAAAAGGAACTCTCTTTCTTCTCTCTCTCTCTCTCTCTCTCTCTCTCTCTCTCTCTCTCTCTTTCTCGCATAATCCGGATTATGAAACGTCTGTACCGTTTGACGAGCAGACAATCCGAACAAGCCTTACATGGGCTTGGAGCCTTCCTCGCCGTGCGTCTGCTGCGAATTTAATCCCCGAGATCCTTCCGTCCTTGCCAGCGGTCTTATGACGGGCCAAGTCTGCAATTGGGACACCAGAACCGGGAACACGCCCGTCCAGTACTCTCATCTGCTGTACAGTCACAGGTAAGCGCGTGGTTCGTCAGATTTTGGCTCAGCGGACTAGCCAGTAATGAGACTTTCATTGCGTAGTCTTGTCTGAATCGCTTTGTGATATTATAATCGTATTATACCTTCATTGCACGGAAAATTATTGTTCCTCATTGACGATGGAGGCTAACTCTCGTGCATAAGTTGCGTTGATTAGTTGAGACTACTTCGTTAAACTCCAGTTCCAGTAGAATGACTTCTGTTTCGCGTGAAACCACCAAGATGTGGACTTCCGAGGAGATCCTCCAGCTCGTCTCTTGATGAATTTTGCAGCTGTCCATCTAACTGGTTGCTATCACAGAGAGGTGCGAGTTCCAGTGTCCTGGATCGTACTGGCGCACTTTTGACTGTACCAGTGGAGAAACTGACTTTCAGACAAAACTCTCTCTTGGTAGTTTCGTAGATGAACTCGTCCTCTGGTTCGTCCCACGACGAATCCTACAGCTGTTGATCCGACTGGCTACTATCACGGCCAACGTGATGCGAGTTTCAATGTTCTGGATCGCACTGGCGTATTTCTGTGTACGCTGTACTAGTGGAAAAGCTGGCGATTCTCGGAAATGGACTCCACTTCAATTAGCTTCTATCACGAGAGTTCCAAACGTGTCCTTGGCCTGCAACGAACGCGCCTGACTGACTGTACTAGTGTGATTCCGTCTCCAATGTGACTTTTATCAGACAAGACGATGCGGTTCAAAGGTCCTTCTGCCTCCAAGGACCAGAAAGTTTCTTCTTCTATTCGAATTCTCTTGAAGAATGTGACAAGAAATACAGGGGGAATTGTTTGACATTCTTGCGCTAACAGAGGGATTCCCTCGGTCGTTTGACGAACACTTCTTCCAGAGAGAACGCCTCGCTGTTCCGAGTCCCAATATCGAGGAATCCTCTACGTCTCCGCGTCTTGTTTTATCCGTAAACCATTCGGTCGCGTCGGAGTCCGCAGGATGTTTTCCCTGGGTTTCATTTCGCACTGCGACGAAACGTAAGTTTCCCTTTATTGGGAAGCTTCGCTTCTGCCTTTAGGACGTGCCTTTAATGCTGCTAGAACACCTCCCTCCCGGTGGTTCTCCTGTCCCCTTCACTTATCGAAACTTGACGTTTCAGAGAGTTCGCGAACGCGGTGAAGTGGCTGCCGACGAAGAGCAACACGGAGTTCTTCTCGACGTCGAGCGACGGGAACGCGATGTGGTGGGACACGCGGCAGCTCCGGCAACCGGTCGAGATGCTCATGTTCGACTTCGAGAATCCGAACGAGCCGGACATGGACCGAGCGATCGGCGTCTCCTGCCTAAACTTCGGCCCGATGGTCGGCACCATGTTCATGTTCGGTCTGGAGAACGGTGTCGTCGTCACTGGCTCGAGGAAAGCGCGTACCAACGTCGAGAAGCTGTCAGTTAGGTTCAACGCTCACTTCGGCGAGGTGAAGTCCGTCGACCGGAACGTCTTCAATCCGCTGGTTTTTGTGACTATTGGCGACTGGAGAGCTCGCGTTTGGGCGGAGGACACCAGAGAAGACTGTCTGGTTTCCACTCCGTATGTTAGTTTTTTCTGTAATATTCACTATCCCTGTACAGGGTGGTAAGAAAAGTTTGTCTTGATCCTGAATTTCAAATTTCTCTTTTTTTTTTTTTTTCCATTGTATTCTACTCACCAGGAAGGTAAATCTTTCCCAAGGAACCATGGGTCGCAACAGTACTCTTGAAAAATGGCAAAAAGTTTCTTAATCATTTAACACTGCGTGCTAACAGCGACTTTATGGTTATCTATATTACGTAACGTTTATATTTCGAACAATGTTAACAGTCAGTTTTATCATTTGATTATTTAGACTCACACTGCTATGCAACGACTGTGATCAGTCAAACGTTAGTGAAACCTAATACGAAAATTATTTTAAATAGGCATCCAGAATCATAAAGTCGCTGTTAGGACGCGCGCGTTCACAGTGTTCAATGATTGAGAACCTTTATTGTCATTTTTCAAGAGAGCTACTAAATTGCGACCTATGGTTTCTTTCGAATAGCGTCACTTTCTTTGTGATAAGTAGAATACGAAAAAAATTTCAACCTTGAAATTCAATTCGCCAGAGTGAATTTTGCGGCTGATTGTTTTTGCACGTATTTCCTTATCAAATCGACGTAGAATTCATCTACTTTTCTTTCTACCCTGTACAATTCCCAACGTTAGATAGGCAATATTTGTGCTCTTGATCGAATTCGACCTGCGTGATCGTTTCATCGGTAGATTCTTGCGAGAGTATCCAACGGGCGGCTGTTGGAACAAGGCGAGATTCTCTGTTTTCTACGTAACAACCGACACCGGCCAACTGCAGGTCTGGGACATTCTTCAGGGTCTTCGCGCGCCGGTCTTCACGCTCAAACTGTGCGATGAGAAACTCACTGCTCTCGCGCCTTGCGAAGAGGGTGCTTTTCTTACGATCGGCAACTACGCCGGCAACGTGTTCCTCGTTGAACCGAACGAGTTCTTTCAGACGTTCGACAGGAAGGACAGAGCCGTCCTTTCGGAGGTAAGCCAGTGGAGGAAAGTCGCCTAATATGGGGAGGTCTAAAATCTTACCGACTGTGAGTAAGAGGTGCTGCTGTCTATCCATAAAGAAAAAAATAAGAAACCATTTAAATAAAAAATAATATAATTATAATTGTCATCTTTAGAAAAGATATTTTAAAACATCTTCAATTGTAATTATTGTTGCCTTTATAAAAGATATTTATAAAACATTGTCCTATACTGTGAACACCTGCCCATAATAAAATTTCTGTGGACAATATGATTGTGGGAGATCACAATCTGACAGAAAAAATTTTTAAATTTCTCTATTTAGGCTGAATTTATGAACTTCTAAAAAGAACGTCCACGGTATTAGGCGATTTTTTTATACGACGAACCCGATTCTTTTCAATCGCGTGAAACAACAGAGCGCTCTCTACGCTCTCCAATTTTACACTCTGGAAATTTCCCCTCCGTTTATAAACTAACCAAACTAACATCGCCGTCTAATTTCCCGACGATCGAACAGTTCCCAGTTTGGAAAAACGACGGTCTTCCCGTCTCGTTTAGTATTTAGACAGATGCTCGAAGATGACGAAGGCAGTGGATCAGCGGATAAAGGAGATCAAGCTGGCGCAGAGGATCGCGGCCGAGGATCAGAATGCGGATCCCCAGGCCAAGGACAAAAGGAGGATGAAGTCGAAAGTGAGCAAGGTGCGCGAGTCGAAGATAAACAAAGAGCGGGAGAGAAGCACGCAGAAGGAGAAGAAGAAGATCAGAGACGACGTCGCGCATCTTTTGGAGGTTGAGAAGAAGTACTTCGAGGCAGTGCAACAGGTAATGAAAAGCAATCGAGAAATCGATGTCTCAATAGATTGTCCTGAATCCCAGTAGATTCTGCAACTTTGACATTCGGATTTCTATTTTCTGTTCTCTCTCTCTCTCTCTCTCTCTCTCTCTCTCTCTCTTTCAAAAAGCGATAAACGTGACAAACTGTTAACGAGCAGAGGCGAAATCAAATTTACTCGGATGAAATGAAACTCGCTCCGAGTTTAATTCGAAAGTTAAAAACCAAGCGGCTGCAGGTGCAATTCAGAGACGGCAAAACAAACATTGGGATTGATCGAACATCCGAACGGGAGCGAGAGCAACAATAAGAGAGACATGGATGTTTAATACTTGCGATTTTAATTACACTGTCACTGATCTAATTCAGTTGTTCGTTCGCCCAGGGTCTCGAGGCCTACGCGTCCGAAACCGATCCGGACGTGATTCCGGTTCTGATACCGACGGTGGCGAGGAAAGTGGAGAAGAAGCCAAAGACGTCGCGAGTAGTCGAGAAGCTCGACGAGGAGCGGAAGGTCTATGCGAGGCCTCGAAAGTCCCTGATAATAGTCAAGAGAAAGCCGAGAGCCCCGTTGAAGTCGGTGCTACGTGCGGTGGAAGTGCCGAGAGAGGACAGACTGTTGATCTCTCCTCTCGATCTGATGCCGGACGAGGCGAAGAAGGTGAAGAAGAAGAAACGCAAGGCGTTGTTCGTGCTGCCGCAGCCCTGCAAGGGAGAGATCTGCAAGCCGAAGGTCTGCTGCTGGCGACCTGGCGTGAAAGCAGGAAGAAAGAGGCGATCGAGAGGAGAGAGAAGATCGACTTCGGGCTCTGCTGTTTCTGTTAGATCGGCGGATAAATGGAGGCGTCGCGGTATGGAAAGCAGAGCGCTCAGAGAAATGCGAGAACCGCCTACGGTGCTCAAGGAGGAACTGCTGGAAGCCATGGCGGAGATTGAAATGGCCAAGAAGCCTAGGGTTCGATTATCCGTGAAAGCTAGGTAAGATTTTGTTATCTAATTTATTTTAATTATTTTCTTACATTTTATATCAATCATTTAAATTATTTCTCTTTCGCTACGACGATCGCCCGCTATTTCGCACTGTTTCGTATCTTGTCTCGCTACTCAGATATTTTTCTAGTGTCATTTCATCGTGTTTCATTCGGTTTGTTGATGTTTCATGTTTGCCTGATGTTTCGTTGCTTCTCACGTGCGAGACGGTCCATTAATATCGATACAAACGCATTTTGCATCAGTCTCGAGAGCCTAAATCCCGTCTGAACGAGATGCTTAATTTATTTTGACGAAAACTGCGAGATTCTCTTGGCTTCGTGTCAACATTTGGTTGGTCAATGTTGCATCGTCCTGCAAACGCGTGGAGAGAAGAAATTTCGATTTCAGCCGGCTTCGGATTTCTGTCCCCCCTTGCAAAAAAAAAACTTGGCTCCTCTTTGTTATGTACAGCGATTTGAGTTGCTGATTCAAGAAAAATCTTCATTTACAATTCTCCTTCAATCTGAGAGAAGGTCGAAAAGATCGATCTCGCGGAAAAAGTTAATCGAAATTTCTTCCTCGTTTTCTTCGCGGACGAGTTTCGAAATTGCAGAATTCGCTCGTTTACGCTTCTTCTTGCTCACCTCTCCTCTCCCCATGCAACGAATTTCCATCGAGTCGCGCGCAAACTGTACAATCCCAAGTCATGTCAGTCAATCAAGGAAAAAATTTTGTTAAAAATCGATAAAATTTTGACGTCCGCCCAGAGTTGCAAAGCGCCCGCCTGAAAAGGCAAGAGTGATCAGATTGGCGAAGAGCGAATCGAGAGCGGTCGGAGAGAAGGACCTTCCAAGGACGGAGGAAGTGAAAAGGAAGAAGAGAACGATACAGGATCCGTGCAGCCCACCGATGAGGAACATCGTCGAGGAATTGTATCTGACTATGTTTGGCCAAGCTGCCCGGGCAGCATCGTCGGAGGAAAAAATCGTGGGCAGAGATTACTTGGAGGAGTACGAACGGGCAAAGAAACGAATTCATCCGCGAATATCGGAGTTCCGGCACATGGAGTGACAGTTCACCGCCACTTGGGCCGCGAAACGATTAGCATTCGAGAGTTCTCGATCAGATCCTCCGTGATCCGACACACCGTGGACAGACGCTACTTAATGTAATTTTAAGCTCAGTTTCATCGACAGTCGGCAAACCTCGCCGTATAACATTCCGATTCGCCGAGGTTTTGCCTCGCAGGGATTAAGCGGCCCGCTCGTTAATACACCTTGTAATTTAAAGCGACGTCTCTTCCGTACGGTGCAATTTATTTCGGCGAAGCGTGGAAGCACGCCAACCGGGTTGCACGGCACCTACGGCCACCGCCAGGTATTTATCGCGTTGCGTTTTGTTCCTCGAGAGGATTTGAATTAAATTCCTCCCGATTTTCTTTCGCCCAGCTCTCCTTGTGCACGAGAAGGAGCGAGAAAAATCGGAGCGAGAGGGAGGGAGAGGAATAATCTTCGCTCCTCGTAAGGGAACTTTTATCGCTAATAAAATTAGTGTTACGTATTGTTATTGTTCGCGTATGTACATATATAATTGTAAGAATTTTGCACGCGTGCCAGTTTGCGCGAGATGAAATAAAATCGGCGAACGAATCCCGACGTCGAATGTGGTGTCTTTTGAAATTTTTCCGAAAAAACGATCCACGAACGAACGTTCCACGGGATCCCAACGAGAGAGGAGGAGGTGTTTTGCTTTATTTTGCAGAGTTTCGTCGAAAACGGGAGGGTGGAAGAGCTTATATAGTTCAGCTTTGGAACGTTTTCGAGATCGTCGCGTGATAAACTCGAAAAGGAAGGTCTAACAATCCTGACCGGGGGCCAGTTCCGGGCAGAGCGATGCAAGAAGACATTTCCTGGCCTAGTCCGCGACCATGTCCAGACCAACTTCCGGACCACTGGATGGTAACTCGCATACAAAGACATACTTGCCGCTTCTGGCGGTAGGATACGTCAATGTCGGGCGATAATGCACGATGAAAGGGACTCGATGTCGGCTTTAAATTCGCGTTTACCAGTCTCTGAAATCACTCGAGAACTTTCGACTGTCATCTCGGGTCAAATTCGAGAGGTTAAACGTTCGAGAGGCGTGTCGACAAAAATTGAAACTGTGGAAGAGTTTTCCTTCCACTTCGTTTCTGGTCGTCCAAATAAAAAAATCCTGCCGTTTTCCAAACAGCAATTGTCGCCTCTTCGCGAATCCGAGTGCGCCGCGCGGGCAATCCGATTAATCTGGAAAACGGGAGGAACGTTTTGCGCGCGTTAAAAAAAGGAGCCCGGAAGGGAAACGAAATGGCAGAGAGGTCTGAAATACGAGATCCGCGAAACGTTTGGCGAGAGTCCAGATTCCGCGGCGTCCGGATTCACGATCGTGCCCGCCGAGCGAATCTTTCTCTCGAGACCGAGAGATGCTGCTAGTAATCACCGATTTCTCCGGCGAATATTCAATTTCGAGGGGCGCGCGACTTTGAACGAATCGGCCAGCAATTGCCTACCGCCTCGTTTGCCTAGCTGCGACCAGCTTTATCTTCGTCTCAAAAAGATCCCGAATCCGAATCGAAACGATCGAAAACTTTGCTAATTTAACGCGCAGCCTTCCCCTTTGCTATAAAACGTGCAATCCTTTGAGCAAAGTGGGTTCCAGACGATCGAACGACTCGATCCCGGTGCAAACGGCTCGATAATTGGCAAGCTAGCGCCAAGTTCAAGTATCACAGGGATTTCGATAAGAGCGCATTTTGAAAGGAAACAAACTGTGTGGAAATTAGGAAACTTTCAATCAACCAAAGTTTCTGAACGTTACCTTGAAACTACCGAGATGATGGAAACGACCGATTCGTAATTTTTATTCGATATATTACAGACGTAAGGCAGTGTACTTTCAGAGATTTAAATCGTATTTCACAGTTTTTCCATTTCTTTCACTTTAACATCCTTGATGAAAATTCTGTGCCGTAGTCTTTATTTCAAATTTTTTGAATTAACATTTAATTTTAAAAATTTTAAAATTAACTGATAGTCTCTCACTTTAATATCCCCGATGAAAACTCTGTGCCTTAGTTTTTACTTTAAATGTTTAAAATTAACCGATAGCCTCTCACTTTAATACCCCTGATGAAAACTCTGTGCTTTAGTTCTTACTTTAAATGTTTAAAATTGACAATTAATTTTAAAATTTTAAAATTAACAGCGATAGTACCAGTGTTAATTTAAGCGTGCAACACGGCTGATCTTCACTTTTCGAATATCTCGATAACCTACAAAGAGTAAAGCTAACGCAGGCCCGGTCTCGTCTCGAGGATTTCGACCAGCTACCTCAAATATTCCCTTATGCTGGAATATCGGCGCATTTTCTTCGAACTGAAACAGCTACCTCGCGAAATTCCACGAAACGAAGCTAATCGGATTGCGCGTTCGATCTTGGCTCACGCGTTTCCGCGATATCCCTGTGATGTTTCGCGATATTCTATTCACCACTGCGGCGTCATGAAAAATCAAGGAATTCCAAACTGACGTTTCTCAAGAATACAAGCGAATACTCCCTTCCTACGTATAAACGACGTGACAATGAAAATGGAAGATTATCCGGCCCCTCTTACGTCATTTTGGGATCGTTGAAAACCTGTTAATATCGAGTTTGACTCACATAATTCTCGTGGAAATTTTCTAAATGTTCAACAATCGTAATTATGACTGCTGTAATATCTTTGAATAATTTTAATACATATATTAAACAATCTTTATTATTTTTTATTTTATATTCAATTATTTTACACATACTTTAATCTATCGATTGCTAAAATTTAACGACAGAAGATTATTTATTATATTTAATTATATTTTTAAACTGTGAATAAATTTATTTATTCAACATTACCATTATTATCTAGAGTTATATTAAAATGAAATTTTTGACATGAAATAATAAAATTTAATAAACTATCATCATGTGTATATTTATTGTATATATTGTCATTGTTATTATGAAAATATTTAATTGAATGATTGTTAAAAACCTCCCAATCGAGTTAAAATCGAAACGTCAAGCATCGAAATATTATAATTGTCAGTTAGCTTTTAATTCGCACAATTCTCACAGAGATTTTCTAAATATTCAATATTCAATAATCGTAATTATGACAGCTATGATATAAACAGAGGAAACTGTTCTTCAGAGGAAATGGAGAGAGGAGTTAATAAGCGAAAGACATGTGGAGAGGGCAGTTAATTGGTTAAAAACAGGAAGGAATAAACATGTACTGCGTGTATAATATTGTCGTGCATAATAAGAAAGCGTGAGATATTAAACGATATTAAATGCAGCATGCAATTTGTAAACCAAGTTCGTTCCTCTATCTTTCGACGCTGGAACTATCGTTAATAGCAAACAAACAAAAAATGATAATTAAATAAATTAAAAAAGTGATCGTAATTGTGTGCGTTCGCGAACAATGTCCCAACTTGTCCTACATCTATCTTGCGTTTACGTTTCGAAGAAAAATCGTTCCACAGGACGCAGGTATCTGTAATTACGTCCTCGTTATCGCTGGTAGGGATTCGATTCTTGCCAGAGCGTTTGATCCAACCTGAACGTAACCTTGTTTCCACCAGTAAGAAGATTACATTGGAGCAAGTGACAGGGACGAATCAAAGGGTATCGCTCTGGGATATCGTGTAATCCCGCAAGTAAAGCGAGTCGATCCTTTGCTTAGCGTTTCCCCGCCTGCCCGCCGCGTCGTCCCGCAAGCCGCAAGAAAACTGGAAAAACGGGAAAGCACTCGCTTTTACCTCGAGCTTTGTACCCATCGATTATTTGTATCTCAAACGCTTGCACCGATCTCCCACGTTATTTCTTTCCTTTCTTCTTCTTTCTTTATTTTTTTTTTTTT